ATTTGATGACAAGGATGCCCAGGGTTATGGCTGTAGCCATTGGGAGGCTAGGATTTTAGGGATGTCCGTTAACCAAGGGATGTAGTTTGCCCCTGGACCCTCTATTTTTTTCCGTCCGTTCAGGTCGCTCGTTTAGCCACCATGCTGCATAACATCATTCTTGTAAAGTCGCTTCGCGCTGCGCCCTTCGTGCCTGAAGCTCTGAAACTGAAACGCAAAGGTCCACAGGCTGTGAAGCTCTGAAGCTCCCAAGCGGCTTTGGTGTTGAGGATCCCTTGGACTTCACTTACTCTACTTGAGGGTCTGACATGATAGCTTTACAAGCGAAGCCTCTTTCCGAAACAGCCTGAAGCCTGTACCCGTAACTCCAAGCAGAGCATCTCGGACAATTTTGGACCTTAGGCCCGAAGCCACACACACCAAAATCCTGACCTTCTATGCACGCCGTGTAGGCATCGACCGTACACACATTGATGTCTCACGTGCAGTTGTAGACCCGCCCCATAGCCCAAGACCCTTGTGCAGGTGTTTGGTCGCATGAAGCCAGACGAGCCTCGTCTCAAAATCCAGCCGCAGCCATCTTGTACGCTTCGATGGCAAGATCCGGGGCGAAGGTATTCAACAAGACCTGCATGTTTGCAAACCTGCAGTCTGAGCCTTAAGTCTTTGAAGGGTTTCGTCGGAACGCCAGCCTTCGTGATATATGTGGCTGCGCCCCTCATGCCAGACTGAAGCTCTTCAAGAGTTCCCTAGAAACAAGACTTAATTGACCCTGCATTACATACCCGTTTAGATCTCGATCTCTATATAAGTATAAGTAAGGACGCTTGAAGCCCAAGTTGCGACGGGGCTGGTCTAATCATCAGCCGCCCAGACAGATGAACACTCATGGGTAATACTCTCGACTTCGCTTTACGTCCAGAACTCGCAGCCAAAAATGCCGAGGTCCACAAGCATGTAGCATCATGTAGCCCTGCTGAGACTTCTCTACACAGACCAACCGCCTCATGAGCCATGCTAGGGCTTCAAAGTCTCAGAGGCACTGCCTCAGGTTTCAGGTTCTTTGCCTACATGAGCCTACATGGTCTAGATGGCCCTGCATACGTTTTTCAGTGGTTACTGCACATGTCTATAGTGATTATCGTTCCAAAGGTGTTGGGTTTGGGTCCAATGAGGATTTGGTTCTGGGCCTCTTCCCATGCAATCAGGACAAGATCAAAGTCATCACGCTGTGGCAGAGCTTTGGTGATGAAGGGGCCGGGAACTCAACTGGGCGCTTGTATAAATTACAGTAGGCAGGATAGAAGCCAAAGAGGCAGCAATTTCAAGAATTCTGGGTCACATTACAAGAGGGTGGATTCTCTTCTCTAGCGGCGCAGCAACAACAGTGGCGATGGATTCCTGAGTCCTCCATTTGGTTGGCGTTGGCTCCCAGTGTGGAGAGTTTGAGGCTTGCCTCGCGAAAGCAGAAATGCTTCTGTCAATGAACTTGAGCACAGGAGGCTGAGCCCTGTGGAGCCCAGCACTGCTGAAGCTCCAATTCCCAACTCACACGCTACAAGGGGCCAATCCTGCTTGTGTTACAGGGCTGACAAAATCTACGGCCTCCGGCTCTTCTGCAAGCACCTTGCAAGCTCCAAACACTAACCTAGACACCTACGCGCTTGCAACTCAAAGTACATGCTACAAACAGCCACACCATGCCACCCCCAGCAACTTATTGAAACAGCATGCTGACAAAGTCATGTAGCCTCCTTCCAGACGGTGACCGGGATGACTGGGGATGGTGGCAACGACTGCGGTCACTTGACCTGCTTCAGCTGGGTCCTGCTTTAGCATTGGTTGGGTTTGGTATTTTGAAGGTAGGGATGTGGGGATTTACAAGGTGTCTGTGACTGCCAAAGAAAAATATTGCTTTCAGTCAAGGCCTGCAGTCTAGGGGTTCATGGCTTAAGGATTTGAGGACCCGAGATGAGAATTTGCTGGCTCCTGCAGGAAGATCCATGTTTTTGAGCCGATGTCTTAGCTTATTGGTCCTCTAAGTGGCCTACTAGCAAGGACACGGTTCATTTTTAGCTAGACGTATTCTGTGTTGGCTAGATGTACGCAGAAGTGAGTGGCGGTCCTTCAAAACTTGTTCAGGGATTGAGTGCAAGAGAGCTTCTTGCTTGTTCTCGCTTGGGCCAGCTTCTGGGTACCATGTGTCCACAACTGAAGACACGTGACACTGAATTTGTTTGCTGCTAGTTATAGTACACATAGCCATGAAGGGGACTCTTTCAAAACAAGCTACCTGCACTCTTTTAAGTAGAGGGATCCCCCTTTGGAATTAGGTGCGCATTCTGGCGGGAGTTAGGAAGAGTACCAGTGCAGGTCAAACTACAACTTCACCCAATCGCATGCCGCATGATGACTGAAATGGAAATTGGTCCCAAAGATCTTGGTTTCCGTTGAGGCTTTGGACAAGAGAAAATTTCCCAGAGGACTCCTAGGTCAAGAAATCCAAGTGTTGTTGGCACCCTCTGAGGCGCGCTGCGCACGGCACATGCTGGGCTCGCGCTCTCGGAAGCTGAGGCCTCCATGGTGCCGCGGACAGAATGTTGTGGGAGTCTAGCTGCGCTGACATCATCCATCGAGCGAGCACAAAAATTGAAGCTAGAAAGACCTGCTTGAAGAACTGCATGCTCAAGGTTGACAGTTTCTGTGAACAGTGCTGCCGTGCAACCATGCGGCTACTAGCACAGGCACTAACATTAGTATTTCTGCGAGTAACTGAAAGAACGATTTAAACAAATAGCCGGATAAGGGCGATACCTGGGAAAGCCTCGCTCTCGGTCCCAAGGTATCGCCATTCAGCAGCAGCAAAGGTCTGACGGAGAAAGGCTCGGCAGTTTCACGCCCAGGGCCAATGGTGGTTCCGTGTCGTTACTTGGGGACCATAACCAATCGCTTCCACTGAATTGAATGACATCCGCCCCAGTGTAGCTTTAAATAATCCGGGCCCCAAAAAATTAGTTGATATTAGGGGGATATATATTGAAAGCATCAGATAGTGCTGCCTCAAAAAGCCCTTTTCAACTCCAATCAAGGAGAAACGAATGGAAATCCACTTCATTAATTGAAATCTAAACATAATTACATCTAGAATCAACTGAAATAAAAATAGAATCCAATTCAAATCAGTTGAAATCGAAATCATATTAAAGCCGATTGAGCTCGAAATAAAACCAATGAACATCTGTTTGAAATCGAATTGGAGATCTAAGAACTGCAATTGATTTTGAGAATGCATTTCCAAATCCTTTGAAATCTGAACAAATTCCATCTAAGACTAAGTGAAATCAAATTAGAACCCAGTTGAAACATATTGAGATCGACATAATTACAATCAAATGAAATACGGCTAAAGTGGCAACAAAATCGTGAAACTCGCATTCATCTTTTATAATATGATTTCGTTTATAAAGCTATAATATGAAAACTATCGAAACCTACGATATCAAGGGCATCCCTAATCGCTTTGTATTTTTCTATCATCATCCTCCCCTGGACCTCAAAAACCTTGCATTCATTATTAGCTTGCCCCTTCCGAGGGTAGTCAGGTAGTCATCCCCTTTAAAAACAAGAATTGTTTTCAGGATCAGGCCTTTGAACCTATCATTTAATAGAAGGAGGGCTGAATATGAGGGGGAAGGGATTACTTTAGGCCCTGAGCTGTGAGGCTTTATCAGCCTGGCTGCCGTAACCGAGCTGATCAAGGAAGGCCGCTCGTGCTTGGCACCCTGGCCTCCAGAGGATTATATCCTGGCATACCGGGTCTAGTTACAAAAAAACACAACTGGGAAAAAAGAACGGCAACGAAAAGCCGTAAAGCCCCTTGGGAAACGATAAGAGGAACCTGAGACGATAGCAACATTTCAGGTCAAGCAAGAATATAGATCAGACTTGAGCGCGTCACAAGGACTACGATTAAAGTTGTCTGAGCGGAAGGCAGGAGGCAGGTTCTGCAACGAAGTATTGCTGGTTGATGCTCATGTCAACAGTTTTGCTGCGTTTCTGTCCATGCAGGGCCGCGTAATTGCCTTTTTGCTTGTCCTGCCCCAAGCCATTGCTGAAAAGGCAACCAACATGGCGACCTTCATCTATTTCATGATCTACAACCTCATGCTAACGTCCACGAAGCTTGCTGTGCTTATTTGGACCGACTCCACGTTTTCCGCTGCTGGGGCTTCAATGGATTGGCTTTTTGTGTTCAAAAATTGCAGAAAGTTTCATGAAGTTATTTGCTGCGGACAGGTTCTGCAGCTTGTGAATCCTGATCGAGGCCTTGCCCGTATGGGCTCGCGCTTGTCCGGCCGTAAGGCCTCCTCAAGACCTTCTGACAAGCTCGGGTACCCTTGTCCGGAACCAATCTTTGGCAATAAAATTGACCCCCTCATGTACCTCAAGCCCGTAGGTTACGGGAGCCATCACCTAATTGGCCACCACTTTGACAGCCCTTGACTTCCTAAGCCCTTTGCCGTGAACCAATCTTTGAAGAACGGAAAGCAGAACGGGCGAATAGACGCAGCTGCTACTAAAGAAGGATGAAATTATTGTGGGGCCTTGTAAGCTGCTGATGTTCGGGTCACGTTGTGAAGCAGTGCGATAGCCTCCGGCTCTATAAATGGCACTAACATCCTAAGAGGTTAATCCTTTTCCTGAATACAGCTGCAGCTCTGATAAAGCCTGAGACTATATCGGAGCTTTCTCCGCCTTTCCCGTAGCCCTACGCGGGCGTGGAGCCCATGTGACATTTTGGTAGCAACTAAAGCCTGGAGTCCCAAGCCTCGCATGAAGCCTCAGATTCCTCTTTTGACAAACCCTGCCTGAACAAGGCAGCATTTGAGTTGCAAACCGCGAAGCTTTCCAACTCTCTAGCGTTTTCGAGGAATGGCAGTTCATCCTTACCGATGTGGCTCTGGCTATGGGCATGGTGTCGAAGCTTGGCCCATAAAGCCCTTGTTGCCCAATGCTTAAGCCATAGGGTGTCTGGGGCGTATGGTCTTGCAAGTGTGCTGAATATGGTCTTTTGTATGTTTATGTAAAGGAAGGGTTGTATACAATCAGATTGAGCTTCGAGCACTGTGAAAAGCACTTAGCAATACCTAAGGGAGAAAATCCCAAGTCATCTTGATATTATTCAGGGGAGACCCCTTGTGGAGCATACCTAGTTTCTGACGCTCCCCAATTGAACCAGGTTCATGGTGCGCTGCCGGCCCGAAGCCAAATTGGCACCCTCAGCTCCTAGCGCCTCGCTCTTCGGAACGCAGGCCCAGGGCAGAATTGTGTTTTTGGGGGGCTGGGTACCAAGCCGAGTAGAAAGCCTCTCAGGGATTCTGCCAAAATTCTCAGGGCAGCACCTCGGAATCGTGCTCCGGATTCACGTCCCTACTCTTTAACAAGTGCTTGTGGTAGCAGACGAGTTCATGACAAGAGGCTGCTACCATCAAGCAGTCTGAAAAACAGGTTTGCTTATAGCTATTGTATACCTACTAAGTTAAGTGCCTAATTTAAGTGCAGGTTGAGGTGTTTTGCGTGTGGGGGCAGCATCCAGTTGATGGGTGTGTGCACTGCCCTAGCACATCAAAGCCCATTTTCTTCCAAGCACATGCCTTGGAGGCCGTCGTGTCCATCTTCAGCGCGGCCTGGCTTGCAGCCTTTGAGGAGGGTTTGCTGGCTCCTCACCCCTCTCCACTCCCCATTCTTCTTCCTTCCTTTGCCCGGCCTGTAGGGCCCCGCATCGAACCTCCATTGGAGGCATCCTTAAACGGTAGGCAGTGATGGAAGGTGAGGCCACCTGGAGATCTGGCGGTTAGCTTCCTGGTACTCGGACTTTGGGATGGACCTTTGGATTGGACAAGATCTGAAGGAATTTAGGCCTAAAGCACCATTATTAGGTCATTCAGAAGGATCGCCTGTGGGATCTTCTAGATATCTTCTACATCCCTTTCTGATGCTGGCCGCAGCTGCCTGCAATGCTACTCATCAACTCCCTGCCGCTCTCCTTTCTTTGGACCGATGCGCAGTCGACTCTTGCAACAACTGCAGGCAGCATCAGGGGTTGAGAGCTACGTATTACCACCACGAATGATAATTGCCACCTGTCCTGATCATGGCATTACTAATGAGGCAACAACAAGCCATGATGTAGATATCCAAAACAAGAATTATAGAAGATTAGTACTATTATAGTAATTGTTAGTATTATAGTTGTTATTCTTACAGTTATTATTACTGTTACTTGTATTATTACTACTATACATTAGACAAGCGGAAAGGCTCTGGTCATCTACTGGTTCACTGCTGGCATTGCTCTGCTGCTCCTTCAGTATGGGCCTGGGCGTGCCTTCTACGAGCTGGGAGCCCAGACTCCTCAATCTCATAGTATAGGTTTGTATATTGGGGTTATGGTTGGATAATGGAAAAGAAAATGGAAACTATAGGAATTCTAGGGTCTGTATAGGGGTTGGCTTGTATGGATATGTCCTTTGAAGATTAGGGGCCGACCCCCAAACAGGAAAGGACCTACCAGAGTAGGGGATGCAGATTGGGTTTCATGAGAAGAGACTATAGCTCTGAGATTAGAGGCTTTTTGTGTATGATCGTCTTTGTAAGTTGGGGCCAATCCATGACAAACCACTTTGCTTTCGGTCCACAAACGCCATTCGCAACCTGCGGTACAAGGTTTAGGGTTTAGGGTCAACTTGGTCTTGGGGCTTAGGGCTTGGGGAACTGAGCCTGCATTCCCAATGTCCGATGAGCTTTTGGGCGGAGTTGCCGAAGCTTTTCGTACGGAATGTTGGATGGATGTCTGCAATTTTGAGGTGCCGGGGTTGGGTGAGTCTTGGGTACAGATAGAATAATGAGCTTCAGGTTCGTGCCCGGTGTACCCTTATCGGATTCCAGTGTACAGGACACGATTGCTCCAGGCTAGAGGATCCCAGGAAGCTCACCCCCTCACCCCTCAGCTCATCTTCCCGACGTCAGGTTCACTTCCTCCATAGTCTCGGAGATCCCGCTCAACGAGTGGACCAAAAAGTCTGACAACTACCTCATAGAGCCTTGGTGGCCTAGTCTGGAGTGGCATGCTATCTGGTCACTTACTGCCCCGCGCCCCCAATGAAACTGAACTACAAGTTGCATGCATTTTATGTAGGTGATCCTTGGTGTGGGGTAGTATGGGAGAGAGTATTGTGACGCCCCAATAGCCTAAGCATGCCAGGGGTAAAACACATTCTGGGCAGAGGGCCAGCAGCCACGGTCCTTAGTATGATTGAGTGAGCATATATGTGAAGCTTTGTTTGCCAGTTGCTGTCTTTCCCCAATGACTTCAGATCGAGAGTTCCGGTTTCGTAGCGAAACCTTTTTTTTTTTTTTTTTCGGGGTGGTGCTTAGTGTTCTGAACAATGGAACCCTGGAGCTCGAAATTGCCTAGTGTAAGGTAACCCCTGGGCACTCTTTGGGGGGTCTTGTTCATGCTCACGCCAGCGTTAGCGGCCCTGGACGAAACACTCATTTTATGGGTTTTTGTACGACATAGACAGTATGGGCCTTATAAAACCATGACTGCTTTCGCTGGCGTGCTGGGGTTGGGGGCTAAATACGTCATACGTTTCAGCATATGCTGAGAGCCTCATTACCGCAGCAGCCTTACCCAGATTCTAATAACCGGCCTCTCTGGAGAGCATCCATGCCAAAATCATAATAACGTTCGTGATCTTAAAGCATACGATTACCAGAGCATCCATGCCGAAATCATAATTCCGTTCGTGTTCCTAAAGCATACGATTACCAGAGCATCCATGCCAAAATCATAATAACGTTCGTGTTCCTAAAGCATACGATTACCAGAGCATCCATGCCAAAATCACAATAACGTTCGTGTTCCTAAAGCATACGATTACCGAAGCATCCAGCTTCTGGTTAGTCAGTGGATGTGGAGAAAGTCCATAGGCTCCACTACTCCCCAGGAGTTTTTGGTCGCACTCGAGGCCCTTCTGTAGAAAACAACAGTCTTTTGCGCGCCTTGTTCGTGTGGGAATTTACAGTACGAATCTGGTTTTGACGTTAGTTTCGCGGACCCCGAAAACAGCACTTTAGCGCGCAATTTACAGTACGAAAGCCATTTTCTGCTTGGAAAGCGGGGTAGAAATCGTACATTTACAAGCAAAGCCACGGAGCACTGTAAATTCCCACGCAAACGCCTGCTACGCTCAACTTCTGCTTGTGCGCAAGTCCTTAAAAACCCACGGCAGAATACGCGCAGTGGACCTAGTTTGTATTGATATGCCTTAAACCCAAACCAACCGCAAAGCCTTGTTCCTCGATGCTACATCCTACACATGAAGGCCCGAAGCTCTCAAAGCGCCAGCCCCTAATCCCTGAACCCTAGTATAACCCTAATATTGCCCCAATATAACCCCAATAGGCTTATATATGAATTTAGTTTAGGGCCTAAACCCTGTACCCTAAACCCTAAACCGCTCGTTTCAGTTGCTAGCGGCAGCAGCATTCGAAAGAGTGTGGCCAGAGCCGCACTACGACCCAAGCGACCAAAAGCTACTGCAACAAGATGAGGGGGCTTCCGAAAATTAGGGGTACCATGTTGGGGGTCCCCATAATAAGGATTATAGTGTTTTGGGGGTCCCCCTATTTATGGAAACTGCCATGAATTGTTACAGGATTGGGTGGGTGATGTTGAGGGTTTAGGATTTAAGCCTTAGAAGGTAGTGTCTAGGGATAATCTTAGGGTGCAGCCTACGTTGTAAGTACCATACCTCTAAGATGACCCCTAAACCCTCAAAAGAATTTTTATTCCCCAGTTGATATACTGGAACCATATTGGGGATAGCAATTACTAGTGGTGGTGGGATCATAAACCCTTAACCTCAACCTCTCTATAATTTGGTAGGTTCCGTTTTCTTGTCCATGCCCTAATAACCCTTAAACCTAAACCCCAAACCCTACTAGCCCTAAACCCTAAGCAGACCCCTAAGTCTGGGCTTCTTAGGATTTCCGTTCTTCTGTTTGCTTATTTCAAGAGCCCTGGGACCTAGAGCTTACATGAAAAACCTGCATAGCCTTAGTGTACCAAGGGTTGCATAAGTCCTTTTCAGGGGGTGACAGGGGACATGTAGGGGTTATATATCGATGTATGGGGTTGCATAGTCAAAATCAGGAACAGGAATTGGAAGCTACCAATTCCCAAGATTTACGTTACTTCGAGCAATGTCTCGCCTTTTTTTGTATCAGCTCCTTTAAAACTACAACTACGTCCTCCAGGGCAGCGCAAACCCCACAACAGGCCCACAGTAGGGGCCCATCATCCTGACATCAAAAGATGATCATAAGACTATTGACGGCACGTACAAGAATAGCAACACCAATCTGAACCTTACTAAGAAGACAAGAGGAATTTCGGTCCTTCGGCGGTTCAAGCTCTATGGAGTACCTAAACCCCGCCGCAACTCGCCTTTTTGAAGGGAATCCTGAGCAGAAAACAGATGTGCTCTGCAGCTGCAGCCGTTCTGGTCGCTCGGGGTTTAGCGCCCCTTCAATCGCCGGAGATGAATGGTTCTTGCAGGTTTAAGTAGATTGGGGTTTAGGCTAGAAACTACGTGCTGCGATGACGACGCTGGGAGCTGTTTCTAGACGCCTAGGGACCTAAGGGACCACTAGACGCGAAACCCACCTGAACCCAAGAAAACCTGATAGCGACGTATGCTTAGGGTCGTGCATTATAGTCCATCCATAGTATCGCCTAGGCCCGACCAGAAGATAATTGACAAAAGTTAAGACCGAACGGGTTGGAATTGTCGTCATGGGTTCTAGGGTTTAGGGGTTAAAGGTTTAAGGTTTATGGGGTTTTAGATGTGTCTGTCTATGAGTTCTGTAGCCCCTGAAGCAGCATTAGTCCTTTCTCTCTCTCTTTGAGGGGTTACAAGTCTTCGCAAAGTGTAATGCATAAGCCTAAGAAATTTCGAGCCCACAACCCTGAGGCATGAACCATAGCTCAAAAGCCCAAGCCCTAAATCCTAAGCTGCTTGATGTTTCTGGCATTTTGGCAGTTTGTAGGGGTTCTCTAGACTCGTTGGGGGATGCGTTTAGTGTGTAGGATTCAGTGTTCAGGGTTTGATGCGTTGGCTTTTTGGGGGTTGGCCTCGTTTTCACGAAGTTACGGCTGTACTTGAGCTATTGTCTAAACGCCTAGTATCCCCCTAGTAACCCCTAGAATGCTTCCCTATAGAACCGCCTTTAAGGAGCTTAGTCCATATCTCTATGTTTCGTAATTGGCATTGGTTTCGTATTTTTGGCTTTCCGGAAACAGCAACCACATAGAGACCCACACAATCCACATACATGTACGGTAGTTTTCAAAATAGGGTGGCCCCAATATAGTCCAAAAATACTATAATCCTTGAAGGGCACCCAAAAGCGCACCCCTAATCTTGCGAACTCTGACTTTTACGGAGAGCAAGTCCCAAAAAAACCTGGATGTATTCCGAAGGTAAGCAGGAGGATTCACTGTGCTGCTGTTAAGGAACTTACTTAAAATACCAGAATACGGGTATAAAGTGAAAACAGGGTTTTACTCATTATAGTTTCTGAATTTAGATACCTTAACAGCAACCCAGTTAAGCGTGGCACGGCAAGACATAGTAGCCATGCTGGTATGGTGGTTAGTTCTTTCAAGGTGTCATTTGTGAAATTGCTAAGATGCTCAGGGGCATTCACAGTTGAAGTATACATGATATCGATCAAGGTGATTCGAGTTTGGAGGATTCACTGTGCTGCTGTTAAGGAACTTACTTAAAATACCAGAATACGGGTATAAAGTGAAAACAGGGTTTTACTCAATATAGTTTCTGAATTTAGATGCCTTAACAGCAACCCAGTTAAGCGTGGCACGGCAAGACATAGTAGCCATGCTGGTATGGTGGTTAGTTCTTTCAAGGTGTCATTTCTGAAATTGCTAAGGTGCTCAGGGGCATTCACAGTTGAGGTATACATGATATCGATCAAGGTGATTCGAGTTTGGCCAATTCGCCCTTCTGCCCGAGCTGGGCCCTAAATCCTGATATCCTCAAACTTGAGACCCTAAGCTCGAAACACTAAAGGGCTTAGGGTTTTTTAGGCTTTACGGCTTTGGGGGGGTAGGATTTAGGGGTTAGGGCCCCCTAACCGTCATGGAGCCGCAAAATGGATCCTATCAAGACGACACTCCATGGACTTGCATTCAGATGGCTCGGTTTAGGGTTTAGGGTGTAGGGTTTAGGGTTTAGGGTGCAGTAAAGGAGGGTGGGGTAGAGGAAATCAGCTGCAACATAAAAGAATCTACAATGGGGACCCTTCAGCCCACCTACCTTCCCGCCTTTTTCAGCCCCCGATCCATGATTTATAGCCTAAACTTCTTGAAGGTTATATAGGGGAGAATTATGAAGGATATTAAGGGGGATGGTTGGGGCTTGGACTATGGACCCTGGGGCCACGTATAATCCCGGTTTCCATTTCACTTTCCATTTGATTCTCCATTACTAAGGGGAATATTGGGAGTTTAGACTCCCAACCCTAAACCCCAAACCCGAAACCCTAAAACCCTAAACCCCAAAACCCTAAACCCTAACCCTGGGTTATTTAGGGGGTTACTAGGGGGTTTTAGACAATGGGCTCACATGGTTTTCGTGTTTAGGGTTTTGGGTTTTCGGGTTTGGGGTTTTAGGGTTTAGGCAGGGACGCGCAACAAACGCTGACATGGATGTACCCTTACGACCCTATGGAGGGATTGGGTTATACCCAAAAGATTAAACCCTAAGCCGCAAACCCTGAACCCAAATCCCTCATATAACGCCCTAAACCCTAAACCCTAAACCCTAAACCCTAACCTCCTTTAAGGAGTCTAGACTGCAGCTCATATATCTCAGACACTACTGGGGTACAGCGCTGCGGTCGCGTCATGGCAGGGTTCTCAGAAGGTTGTCTACCCAAAAGTTCAGGGCAATTACAATTCTAAGAATTTCGGTGACTTTGGGTTCAGAATGAGATATTCTGTGACGGAGGAAATCTTGCACCACTTAGGGTTACTAAACGACCGTAATTCCTAGGGATTCTAGGACGTAAGGTGGTGCAAGATTTCCTCATCAACAAGATGTACAGTTACTATTGGGTTATAACCCAAGCAGTCCACACTACACTCTCGAGCCTCCCTAATGCCTCAAACTCTGGGCATGCTCAGCCTGAAGCAACCGTGTGACGGTGTGAAAACCATCCATGCAAGGCGTGCCCACGTTACCCGTAGTATGCGGTTCAAGCTGGGGGTTTTGCCAGTAACATTTGTGCCCTTGGGGCTTGGGGTATACTGTTACTCCCCAAGATTGGAGAGTTGAATGGAAAAAGAAAATAGAAAGCCAGAATACTAAACCTTAAGACCTTAAATCCAACTTGAAAGCAGCGTCACCGTGGTTTTGGTTTTGAACAAGGGAATCAACGGCTCTCATGTAAGCTATGGTCTAAACTCCTTACAGGGGGTCATGTAGGAGATCATATGGGGCTTAGAGTAGGGGATACTAGCAGTTTAGACTATGGCTTATGTTGGGGAACAGCTTCATGGGTTGGAAGGTTTCTTCGTTGAAAAGTTTCAGAATAACTAGAAAACTAGAAAGAACCTTATTAGTTTTCAACCAAATTCAGAATCCGAGAGCAACATAAGGTAATATAGGGATATTACTCCCCTGAAGAAGTTTAGACTCCAGCTCACATACACTCACCTAAACCATTGCTCAGAAGGAAACAGCCTGGCATCACCCATATGAGCTATAGTCTTAACTCCTAGTCTTCCCCTGAATAACCCCTATAGAAGTCCCCTTTATAACCCCCCTTTAAGGAGTTTAGACTATGGCTCATATTGTTTAGGGTTGTAACTCACCTGTGCTTAGCAGGAGTCTTAGGTTCGAGGTTTGCTCCATGCCCAATGCCCCTCAAACAAGAATTCCCCGTACATGTCCCCAAAACAGCGTGCCATTTCTTACATGGACCACCAAAAAGGACGCATATTTTGTTAAAGCCTCGCTTCAAGACTTTGTGTCTCATAAGTGGCTCCGCGTCACTGCTTGGGGTAGATATTATAGGACTACCAGAAAGAGGGCCTCAATAGCGTGGTCTGGAAGCCCCACACACCGACAGTCTTAATGCATCCTAAATTCTTGACCTGAAGCCCTAAACCCTAAGACCTACAATGCCTGAAGCCTTCACTTTCGTTTCTCGTACCACTTTTCAGCATCTGTAGTGCGGAGGTGGAGATCCTAAGCCCTAAGCCCTACACGTGAATCCCCAATCCTGTCCCGAAGTTGTCCCCTGTGCACGAATGAACAAAGTAGGGCCCCAGACCCTGCACCCTCAACCCAACGCTCTAAAGTTACTAAGCCCTTAGATCCCCCTCATGCCCAAACCTCAAAAACCAAAACCCCAGACTTCAACAAATCCTGAGCCCCCAGGGCCCCAAACCCTACTGGGATCCTTATATACCTGCTACCATACATGTAATCACCCTTCATAAGGGCCATGAACCCTAAGCCCTAAACCCCAAGGCCCCAAACCCCAACAGCTCATATATAACCCCAATATATACCCTATAATCCCTATATAATCCCTATATAACCCCTATGAACCCTGTAGTTTCCATTTTCTTTTCCATTATCCCAAACCCTAAACCCTAAGGGCTACCTTAACTGTACCTTTAATAAGGGCCCTAAATCCCCAAAACCCTAAACCCTAAACCCTAAATTCCCAAAACCCTAAACCCTAAACCCCCAAAACCCTAAACCCTAAATCCCTAAATCCCCAAAAGGCCTAACAGCTCTAAGAGCTGCTTTGTCTGGCATCCCTCCACTTGCACGAGCAAAGCCCACTCCGGAGATGACGGAGTTTTTCCAATCCCATGGCCCAAGATGCCGAGGCTTTAGGGTTTCAGTAGACGCCTGCATAGTTGCCAACATCATAGTAGTAGTAGTAGTAGTAGTAGTAATAATAATAGGAATAATAATCATGAAACTAAGATTACAGTAGTAAATACAAATATTAACCATAATATATGATAGTAGTCATAATAAGCATACTAGTCAAAGCATCATACCTCGAAGCCCAATTCTGATTGATACGGCAACTACGTAATGGTTGACGGGCTAGCACTCCGGCCGGGGGTACAGTAGAGTTTTGGTTTCACTCTAGTTAGATGGAGAGTACCGGGATCATCTAAGTTTTTACGAGGGTTGTAGATGGGAGACACTTAAATCTGAAAAACTACAATCAATTTCCTGCAACACCCCCAAGTAGCAGTGCCGAGAACCATAAGGACTAGGCCAGAAACCAAGGCCCAAATTATTCTAGACCAATGGTGTAGGGTTCATGCACGGTACTTTCTAGATGAGGTGGTGTAAAAGTAGTCGTGCCGCGAAGCACAGCGTTGCAAGCACGCCTTCGCTGCTTCTAGGTCTGAGGTTGAGCATGGGAACGTTTCAGGGTATTGTACGTGCACTTCATTCCATGCAACAGGCTTTACGCCCCCTTGCTCCCGCACAGCAATGCCAAACGCTCTAGCCATTCCAAGAGCGTCTGTGGGTCAAATGGTTGCATCTGCTTTGAGAACGCGTGGAGCAACAAATGAAACTAGAAAAGCACGTATTGCATCTTGGGCTACGGCCAAGTGCTTCTAATTCCTAAGCCCTGACTCCCAAACTCTATGCCTCGAAAAGCTGATTTCATCAGCAGTGATACCGCATACAAGAGGACCAAAAAGCCACGTGGATGCCGATCGAGGCGCGGCCGGCTAGTTGCTTTGAGACTCTGATGCAACGAAATCTTGTTCATCTCGCTTGTGAACATCCGATGGGTTGTCGCGACCTGGTTGTGATTGATGTTGCTGTCGTTGTCATTGTGGTTGCGGCTGTGGTGGTGGTGGTTGTTGTTCTTGCTGCTGTTGCCGCTGTTGCTGCTGTTGCTGCTATTATTGTCGCTGCAGTCGCTGTTGCTACTGTCGTCGTCGGCGGCGGCCTGGTCTGGTGCTGCTGCTGCCGCCGCTGCCGGTGGTGGCGGTGCTGCTGCTGGTGGTGCTGCTG